ACGACTGTCAACCATTTGATCTCCTCAAACCCTTTTACCCATATACTTCTCTTTCACATCATCTGATCCTTCCTACGAGGTGGTGTGGTAGCAAGTGGCACGCTTACCACTAGCGCGGTCCTTGGTTCAAATCCCGCTTGACTCCGCTCAGGCCAACCAAGCCTACTACTCTCGGGACGGATAAATTGGTACCAGATTCGTCTGGGAGGATAAAACACTGACTTGTACATCGGCTGGCCCCCGCAAGTCATTGTATAGGCCATATCGCATTCAAGTAAGCCACTACGATTCTGAATGGAAGTTGAATGCGCGTCGCATCCCACCTAGTTATCGACAACGCGGAAGACTTTATCCTTTTATCTTCAATCCTTCCTATTCTAGCTACTCTACCGATAACTACTTCTGTGTATTACTACAACTCACCTATAGTCCATTCTCGATAATGCTTTGCTGCTTCTTCATAATTTAGACCCGAATTCTGAAACAATTAATTTTTAGGATTATTACTGAATAGTTCAGAGGCATTGGGACGAGCCCAGTCAGAGAGACACTGAACGTTCACCAGCGAAGTTGATCTTCCCCCGGGCAAGATGGAACGTCGCACAGTTCGCACTAAAGTGCGTGGCAGTGAAACTGAAGTGTTTTGATAGCTGGATGCTCTTTTGTTTCCGGCTGCAGAGTACGCCATAGACACGCAACACGCCATACGACCAGCCACACGCCTTACCCTAACAAGGAGCGTTACTTTTCTCCGCTCTCTCACGCTCAACTGCAGAGCTATAACAGAGCTCGACTCCGGTGCATGCCATAGGTGGAGTGATGTTGCCAGCACGTGTCAGATAATGGGCGGAGTTATCAAAGGTCCACCAATCGTAGCCTTCTAGCTTCATCGTCCTGCACTTCCTAGTGGTAGAAGTAGTACGGTACTACAGCAGTGGACCCGCCCACCTCGCTTATGGAAAGATCAATCTCAATTGTGAGCATACGGGGTGTCTTAGAGGCAGCGGGCACGATTGTTGGAGATGTGCGGTTTTGCCAACGTCCCTGGTGGAAGGGCTGCGAGAGACGTTTGGCCACACCCCATTCAGCCTTTCCAAGGACGTCAGCGACAATCGCTCGCCTCCAAAAATCGTACCCACCGCATTTATGATCGAAAGGATGGCCGGTCATGGCTTTACAAACTTGCCGGAAACTTATGAAGTTATCAGCTTACCTTTTCGAGATTACTGGTAGCCAGTGTACAGATCACTATACCGATAGTGATTGCGAATACAGATAGATACTTTCGCAGAGTGTACTTTTTCTTGAGCAAAATCACAGAGAGTACAAGATTGGCCATAAGGGAACCCTAAACGGGATCTTCTCTCAAAAGAGCCAAAGCGACAAGGGTTTTCAAAGAGTTACCGATCGGAAAATGATATGTAGTGGTTACACCGGGAACGTTGAAAATTTAAGAGCTTTGATTGTTTATCACGTTCGCAGTGAAGAAACGTGATCACAGTTAAGGGAGTAGACCCTGTAATACACTCATAAAGGAAGTTGTTTCAGGCTTATCAAGGCACTCTCCAGTTTAGTGTATGAGGTACGTAGACCTTCATCTTGGCTTTTCTATCTCGTCTTAGATGGCCCGAAGTTACTTCCACGGGCTGGGTTGCTATGGCTTATGACGACCCCAGCCTCCTTTCCTATCGCCAGTAGTTCAGTTACATGTCCCTGATATCCCACAGGCTGTCCCTCTTCAGGGACATAACTGAACTACTGGCGATAGGGGGAGGCTGGGGTCGTCATAAGCCGACAGCATGCCAGCCGTGGAAGTTACTTCGCCCATCTAAGGACGAGATATGGCAGCGAACACAGATGTAAGCATTGCGGTTATTCTGCTTAGAGGGGACTGACATCTGTCGTCCGGCTTTCTCTTTCTCTTTTTCTCTCGTTTTTCTCTTCTCTCATTCTTCGTCTCTGGTCTCTCGCTAGCGCAACAGCGTCTCGATTAATCGAACACTCGTCCAACCTTGGAGTCTTATTTAGGGTAGGCATTTTCGTTCATCATTTTCCTCACTGATAGGTCGGCTACCATCGACTGACTGACATCCAGACCTCAAACCCCACGAACTGTAATCGAGAAATTTGCTCTTAAGTCAGGAAATAGTGAAGCTTCTCCTGAGGGCACCTACCCGGAATGTGCAAAATGGCGGCGCTACTACCATCTCACACATAAGAGGGTTACGGTACGTCTCCTTTCGTAATCTATCGCTGCCCCCATCAACAAATCCGCTCATATACATTTGCTCAAAATGTCGTAGCTGATTAGGAGTTGACGCCACGACCAACTGCCATTAGCAATGTTTGGGCGCGCCGCCACCTAAGAAGCTGTATAGCGCACCTGGCACCAGAAACTTTCTCTCGCCGCCAAATACAGCAACCTTCTAAGGGTTAAATACCCTCCCCCCTCACTGACGAGATGCACATAACGATGGAGCACATGATGCACTCTATAGTCTCACTTCAAATATCGATTCACGTGTTTTATAACGACCACAGTCTTGTTAGCTGCGGATGATGGGGCGTGTTAGAGG